GAGAAATTATGGAAATATAAAAATGTAATGAAATAATGATAGAAGTGTGTTTATATCTTTTGAAAAATGTTTTCTTTTAAAATTTCTTGAAATATAAGGCTAATGAAAATTGAAACTTTACTTGATCAAATTATTTAATTACACTTTTTGTGGAACATTTTTCTCCTACCGATTTGACTCTCTATTTTATTGTAATGGGAGGAGTATTAATACTATTGGCAATCTTGTTATCGTAGCATTTAGTATAACATTGTGGTGTTATTTATAACGATATTAATATTTATTTCGGTATTATGAAATTAGTATGATTCCTGTTTCCTGTTCCAGAAGGAGTGCAATCTGATTCTAGTCCAAGTGGAATCGTCCATTATCCAAACAAACATCGTATCTTCGCTATAAAGGTATACAGATCTCATAATTCTCGTCTTAGTTTTACTTTACTGACAGAACAAAAATTTCTATGCTAAAATCTATTTTAATACAAACAAATTCCTGCAAACTTTTCAATTTTTCTTATACGAAATTTCTACTAATGAACAATATTGTTGTAAAAGTTTGTGATTACTCTTTAGAATAATACAGCAAAATAACAAAATAATCATCAAGTCATTTAACTTTGATTTCAATAAACTTGCAGTATGTAGTTTTTAAGAAAAGTTTAAAAAGAATGATAATATTCATTTTTATAAATAATTTTTTTTTGTGACAAATATACTTTCTTCAGTTAATGTACGATCATCACTAGCACCAGCTAAACAAAAACCATTAAGCATCAAAGTCAACGTAAAAGTACGCAATTCTATGTAGAGGGGTTATTTATAGGGGTGGAGAAATATGTTGAGAATGTATAATGACGTATTGTTTGCGCGGAGCCTCTGTTCCCGTGTGAGTTGAGGTTGCAAATTAATCGAGGTGTGCGACACAGTTGCAGTAGCAGGAAAAGAACTTTTACATCGTTGAACGGTGATTTTTAAGTAGCAAGATACTTTTATTTCACTGTTCATCGTTGAAACTTGAATGCACACATTGATGCAGCCTCTATTCTCGAATGCAACATCAATGGAACCACTATTTCGAATGCAAAACATTGTTGTACGCGTTACTTTCGAATGCAACATTGCTTGAAGCGTTATATTTGAACGCAAACATTGTTCGAATCTCTGTTTCTGATTGCAACATTATTAGAAGCGTTATTTCGAACGCAAACATCATTACAAGCACTACGCTTGAATGTAACATTGTTACAAGCGTCAATCTCACTTGTAACATCGACAACTCGTATTATTTTCGAATGCACATTGGAGCAAACGTGTAATCGAGTTTGTAACATTGTTGCCGCGAATCGTTCTCGAAACACGCACATTGTCGCACGGGGCACCGTAGTGCAACTTTGTTGCTCCGATGCGCTCCCGAAAATTGCACATTGTTGCAAACGCGTTATCTGGTTTGCAACTTTGTTGTCTCGAAAAATTCACATTGTTGCAAGACGCCCCGTTTTGCAACATTGTGCATTTTTCGGGAGCGTCTCGCCGCAACAAAGTTGCAAAAGAGAGGTCGCGCTTGCAACTTTACTGTCAAGAAACGCTCCCGAAAATTGCACATTGTTGCAAACGCGTTATCTGGTTTGCAACTTTGTTGTCCCAAAAATCGCACATTGTTGCACGACGCACCGTTTTGCAACAGTGTGCTTTTTTCGCGAGCGACTCTCGACAACAAAGTTGCAAGCACGATCTCTCTTTTTGCAACTTTGTTTCCCCGAGGCGCTCCCGAAATTTGCACATTGTTGCAAAACGCGTTATCGGGTTTGCAACTTTGTTGTCGCGAAAATTGCACATTGTTGCACGGCGCCCCGTTTTGCAACTTTGTGCATTTTCGGGAGCGGCTTTCGACAACAAAGTTGCAAGCGCGATCTCTCTTTTTGCAACTTTGTTTCCCCGAGGCGCTCCCGAAAATTGCACATTGTTGCAAACGCGTTATCTGGTTTGCAACTTTGTTGTCCCAAGAGTCGCACATTGTTGCACGACGCCCCGTTTTGCAACAATGTACTTTTTTCGCGAGAGACTCTCGACAACAAAGTTGCAAGCACGATCTCTCTTTTTGCAACTTTGTTTCCCCGAAACGCTCCCGAAAAATGCACAATGTTGCAAAACGGGGCGTCGTGCAACAATGTGCGATTTTCGAAACAACAAAGTTGCTAACCAGATAACGCGTTTGCAACAATGTGCAATTTTCGGCAGCGTTTCTTGACAGCAAAGTTGCAAGCGCGACCTCTCTTTTGCAACTTTGTTGCCGGGAGTCGCTCCCGAAAAATGCACAAAGTTGCAAAACGGGGCGTCGTGCAACAATGTGCGATTTTCGAAACAACAAAGTTGCAAACCAGATAACGCGTTTGCAACAATGTGCAATTTTCGGGAGCGGCTTCCGGCAACAAAGTTGCAAAAAGAGAGACCGCGCTTGCAACTTTGTTGCCGAGAATCGCTCCCGAAAAATGCACAAAGTTGCAAAACGGGGCGTCGTGCAACAATGTGAAATTTTCGCGACAACAAAGTTGCAAGCCCGATAACGCGTTTTGCAACAATGTGCAATTTTCGGGAGCGTTTCTTGACAACAAAGTTGCAAAAAGAGAGATCATGCTTGCAACTTTGTTGTCGAGAGTCGCTCGCGAAAAAAGCACATTGTTGCAATGCGGGGCGTCGTGCAACAATGTGTGATTTTTGGGACAACAAAGTTGCGAACCAGATAACGCGTTTGCAACAATGTGCAATTTTCGGGAGCGACTCGGGGCAACAAAGTTGCTAAAGGAGAATCGCGTTTGCAACTTTGTTGTCGAGAGTCGCTCCCGAAAAATGCACAAAGTTGCAAAACGGGGCGTCGTGCAACAATGTGCGATTTTTCGCGACAACAAAGTTGCAAACCAGATACCGCGTTTGCAACAATGTGCAATTTTCGGGAGCGACTCGCGGCAACAAAGTTGCAAGCGCGATTACACGTTTACAACTTTGTGAAACGCACGTATTTTCGTTTGTAACGCTGTACGACATGCAAAACATTGTTGTCTGCAGTACTTTGTACGCAATACATTGCCACAAGTATTTACTTGAACACTTGTGTTTAAATGAATAAGTGCTAAGCATACATTTTCAACTTATTCATCTATGGATAATGCAGCTTGTACGAAAGCATCTGTATGGATAATATATATATTAACCATGTTCCTTAAGACATGTTTTGAAAAATCTGACTATAGTATAGGAGTTTTCGATTATTGCTTATCGAAGCAATCAAGCCAGGTGATTACTTTCATCTTAATTTGTTTATACCATTCATTTTCTTCTCGTTAATATACCTTTCTCTTTCTTTCTTATGCTTAATGGATAGTTTAAAGGCGAGAAAGAAAAATCCAGACTCATGAAATTTAAAGAAATAATCGACATGCAAAACATTCTCAGGAAACAATTCTCAATATTACATGATAAGGGAACATTGTAAGGATCTAACTTATTATACGAGAATGGAATAAGAAATTGAATGAATTTGATACATCTCTTAATGATTTTATTCAATCTTATTTGACTTTTTAATCAATGAGAATAAGTTAATTATTCAGCTTGGATATTATCGTAGTTATATTTACCATAGACCGTGGCATAATTAATTACCTTCTCTCTTTTTTGCATTCATTGTCAGTAATACATAATAAACGAGCGTGTCAAATCAGAAAAGGGTTAAACGATAGTAAATAGCCGAAAAGTACACAAAATGATACGTTTACGTACATTTTAATAAGTGTGATAAATTTGTTTTTAATTAGATTATGAACGCATAATTATATTCAGGCGAGAAAACTACTTTGAATTTATGATAAATGATAGAACAGTTCGCGTTTAATTTGTGTCGATCAGCTATCATATTGAACATCCCAAATAACCTCAAGTCGACCCTAAACGAGAAGAAAGTATTAGGTCTTCCCATAAGTTCGTGTCGAAAGTGAAAAATATTTTAATGAAAATCCAACAAAATTCTTAAAATAAAAAAGAAGAAAGAAATAGGAAGAAGTTGTGAAACTAAAAGGCACTTACCTCTTTTCTATCAAATTTAAATCGAATTTAAAATATAAAATGCAACACGAACTTACGGGAACTATTTCAGTTTCTAAAAGACATAAACATTTCCGAATTAATCTAGCTGCACAGCAATGTAAATATCGTATTATTCTATAATTATTCAATTACATACTAATCTAACATAGCATTGTATTATATATTCCTCTGTAATGCAACTGTAGCCGCAGATAAGTAACAATAACAGGAAGATGCAATTTTAAATAAATAAATAGTAATAACAATATCACGTTCGAAGGATAATCTGCTGAAAGTTAGTCCCTATCAAAAAGTCCTAAGACTCTATGGGAAATGTAGACAGGAACAGAATTTTCCGTGGAAAATTGATAAGAAGAATAGCTAACGAGAAGAATATTCGATTAGGTTTTCTCTTTTCAAATCACACGCAGGTTATATTTGAAAACAAGAGAATGAAGTTATTATGGATGTATTACGGGTGTGGCGTAATGTGTGATTATGATAATAGGATTAATAAGTTGCATGTAAGAGATACTTGCGTTTCACAGCAATGTGTAAAAAGTATCTTCTTATTTACCGTTCTTATTACTGTTATTATTACCAATTATTGCTGTATCACTAATTCTGTATATTGCGTTATTTGTTATTACTGCGCGATTATCCAAGGAAACAACTTTCATTAGCTCCTTTTATCACACAAAATTCACACGCTTCGATTTACCTTCTGATTTTACGAATTTCTCAACCCAACGAGATAAAATTAACTACCCTCTAACCATCAACTACGACATAAAAATTTTAATTAAATTCCTCAAAAACAGATTCACTCTCATTGTCGGATTATTTCTAACAACACCCTATGGAAATAATCAAGTGAGGACGAAAATGTCTCCGGGTTATTTTAAACAGATGCATCTGGTGTCCGTCTTCGAGTCACGCACTAAACAGTTCCTAGGTGTAAGGGGACCCCAACTTTCTTTTTGGGTGCCCAGACACAGTCCTTTAGCAGATTCAATAGAGTAAAGACGTTTCCTCTGAGTCCGTAAATAAATAGCATATTACAAAGTTAAAAGACTATTTCATTCCATAAGCCATTTCCAATACTCGTAAACTCAATCGCCTCAATGTTAAAACGACGATTAAGTTATTAGAAAAAATTTCGTACACTACACTCACTTTGATTGCCCGTAAAAAAATTCTGAAAGATGTAAACGAAACTCGCGCGCTACACCAGAATACTCCCTTAACTCCTTCGCTGCGGCAGATTTTAACGTGGGTGACTGACGGTAAATTTTTAACCACGGCTGTGAAATTTGTTATTT